TGATACGGTTGGGTAATTGCCAAATTTGAACAGACGAAATATCGATGTTTTTAATTTTAGCTTAGCACTATTTTTTAGCCAATTAAATGTTTTGGAACGGACAGCGAAATAATTTATCAGAAAAATATTAGACTATATATTCATGCATTTTCATTGGTTAATAATATACATGTTCCAGTGAAAAAATTGTTCCGGTGGAACTTTTCACTGGAATCACTGGAACACTGGAAAATCTGGACGTCCAGCGAGGGTTCCAGTTTCCAGTCCAACAACACAGTGTTAATTTTAATGGATGGTTATATGATTTCTATTGTCACAGATGATCCCTGATGTGTTGTTGTTGAAGATTTAACAATATCTATTTGCATGGCTTCTGCACCTGGTGAATGTTCCGCTGATGATTGTAAGATTTCGTCTTCATCGACGGATTCATCCTCCTCCTCATCTTCAAAACTATCTTCATCCACAACATCTACATTTTCATTCATTATAGTTCCTGTGCTAATTTCATATATCATTTTCGCTCTAAAATATCCCATCTTTGACTGTGTAAATGATAGAGGCGCATTCCGACTCATGTGTTCCGCCGTCATCATTGCAAACACGCCACAGTCGTATGAATTCCTCTGTTGGGGAGTTTTCGTCTGAAATTTACAAAATTTTTTTTTTTACTTTTCAGCGTTCAATAATGAAAATACATATGTATATATATATAATTTTTTTTTTTTTAAAAAAAAAAAGTTTTTATTACCCTCGGTTCATAGGTTTCCCAAGTAGCAAAATTGAAATGCTGATTATTGGTTTGCTTGGCTAGATAGATAAAGAATTCCTTTAGTTCCTACAAAAGTTAATAACATGTTAATTGACGTGTTGCTTGAAAATTAACCAAAAATTATTATAAAATTTTACTTGAAGAAAAAGTGGATTAAACCCTGAGCCAAGAGAGTCATAGTACTCGAATCTACACAGTCTGAAGTTCACCACGGCTAAAGTCCAATGTGCGCCCGTATTAATAGGTATGAATATATAATCTTTATCAAAGATATTTGGCGGAGGTGCCTATTTCCATTAAAGACAAAGTTAAAAAAAAAAAGAGGTTATATAAAATCAAGAATCAATTAAATTCAACAAACGCATACCTTTTTCTTTTTATTTGGCCGTGGTATGAACCAACCCGCTACAACCTTGTGACCAAATCCACCTTGCATTAGTTTAGTATAGAAAAATGTATTAACAACATGAACCGGTGGATATATATCGGGATTGTTTTGTGCTCGCTCGATAATGAGATTACCGTAAAAATTGATGACCTATAGAAACATGTTTATCGGATTAGCAAAATTCCGTATGAAAAAAAAAAAGGAGGAAAAGCGGAAGGAATCACACCTCATCATTAAGCCAAGCGCCATTGGTCAACGTGCGGATATGAGCTGCTGATATTTGCAAGTTGAACTTCTCAATTATCATGTAAGATGGTGCATATTCGCCATGTGAATCTAGATATTTTGCGATCTGTAATGTCATATTGAATACTCGGTGAGTTTCAAATGCCTTATATAAATTTAAGAAAAATAATTATCATATGAATTATATTACCTGAATCTGCTGGGCAATGGTTAGTCGTGGATATTTTGAACTAGATTCCAGTACTCTGCGGTGATTCTCAATCTTGTTTAATTATATAAAAGAATAAAAGTTAATAATGACTTTATTAAAATATATATTTATATTGATCCAAAGAATTTCTAATTTTTACCATATAATCGGATTGACGAGATTCGTCAATTATCGGCGTTGATACATTTGGGATATCATCATATCTAAAAAATGTAGAGCGTATAGAGCGCATATAAATTATCAAATAAGCATAATAAGAAACAAGCGAATGATTTGAAAAAAAGACCCGACTTACGAATGCCAATTTTGTGAAGAGGTAGGCGTACTTATATCATCGCTAGAATATTGACTATGGCCATTCGGTGATGCAACAAATTCTGTAATAGTTACAAAGTATAGTGTTAAAAAAAAAGCCAAGCCACTGATTTATGAAACTCAGTAAAAAGGGGAAATATTAACCTGCATCCCATGACCTTTTGCCATTCGTTATAACAGCATTCTTCCCTTTGTACAAAAGAGAGATTATTGAATGAATTCAACATATTAAAAAAGAAAAAAAAAGCCTAAAATTACGTTAAGCTCCTCACCTTTCTCCGTTTTATTATCGACTGATTTATCAAAATTGATGCGCAAGGCATCTCGATCCAGCGACCTTGCATGGTTTAGATTGCTCGAACTTAATCTTTGGCCTTTTGGCAACGATATAAAAATTAATAAACAAGACCAGATAGTAGCCGATATATGCTAAAGAATCTGGCTTACAGAATTTTTACAAAAAATGGAAGAGTCGTCGTTTACTTATGAAGCTTACCGTTATTCTGTATAATTGTAGAAGCCCAATTTTTCAATTTCTCTGGAACTAAATATAATTTAAAAATAATAAAATAATTAATAAACAAAATTTTCTAAATAAAACCCTAAAATATATCGAAAATATTAATTTTAAATACTAACCTACAACTGGCGCAGTTATAGGCCTTTGGGTTATATCTAAACCATCCATAAACAGCTTATCATTTGCTTGAAATGCTAAAAAATAAAATTTATAATTAAATTTAAATAGTAATATAATATTAGAATAATGATCGTGAAATGCCTATCACATACATATTGCAGCGAGACTTTGTTTCGCTATAATTCTTCTTTTCTCATCCTGCAATGGTTTTTTCTATAAGAGTAAAGGAGATAATTAATGATCACGTGGAATCTGAAAATGAATAAGACAAAAATCTTTTTTTTTATGAAAAAGAAAAAGGGGTAACTTACGCTATAAAATCGAGGCTTGCCATTTTTTTTTTTTTCGATTCGCCCATTCTGTACAGTCACTTTCCCTTTTTCATACTTTGGAGGTAATTTTGGAGTCCTATATGCTTTATCAATATACTCATCACTTCCACCGTTCCCACGATCTGTCGTCCCTTGAGAAAAAAATATGTGAGAATTGTCCTCAAAGTAAGGCCCACCCATCGTAACAAGTGAAACAGAGTTTGATATATATATGCGGATCGTCTATTTTATATCTATTTTTTTCGAAATTTTAACAAATACTTTGACAGCACTGGAAAGATTGTAGGCTGAGAATAATTAGTTAGCCTTTTGGAGTGCTCGTTGCAATTATGTTGAAGGAAAAAAAAAAAAAAGTTGTCATACATTCGTACCAAAAGTATGTTTATATTATTATCCCGTGATCTTTGGCCAAAATTAAATCTATTAATCTTATAATTCCAGTCAACAGACCTTAATACCTCGTTTCCTTATTTGAATTAAAGATAATTAGAGATAACAGGAATGCTCGAAAATTTTCATACGTAAAAAGCGATAAATAATAGTAATAATAATAATAATAATAATAATCATAATAATAATGATAATTATAATTATTAGCTTAGCATAGTACGTAATAGTATTATTCTCGTTATTATTTAAAGTCTATAATTTCCATTGATCGATACGCAGTTAAAATAGTTAAAAACAGACGAAAACCATAACTAAAGTTGAATCGAGAGCAATCAAATACTAGTGCACTAGAATTTATATTTATCATAGGCAATAACATTTGACAATAACATTTTAACATTTGAATAATTTTGAATAATTTTGAATAATAATTTTTTTTTTTTTTTTTTTTGCGCACACGACGTAAAAACAATGTTCTTGAAAACGACAGGCTCGTTTTCAAAGATTTTGGATTTAAACGAATGCTACAAAGCAATAAGGTTCATTTAAACCAAAATCATCTAGAATAGACCGTAGTTTTCGAGATATACGATGACGATAATGAAAATTAAAGTTATAAGAAAGGGATGAACGACAGTCTACTTTTTTATGATTTTTTTGGGGGCTAAAATGTTCATAGCATTCGGTTTAAGTTTAAAATTATCAGCCGTTCTTGAAATACCAGCAGTGTTAGGGGCGTGCTACTTATTATGCAATATTTTTTATTTAAGAGCTCTACCTCTCCATTGTATCCATTGTATGATGCGATTAAACAATATATCGTACAACACCGATTCTTAAACACGGCACATCTGTTATTGATATTTTTGGTTTTAAATGAATGCTATATACATATTTGATTTATAGTATTTGTTTAAGTCCGAAATCATCGAAAAAAACACAACCATTCTTGCGTTACGGAAGGTTATGTTTTTTTCTTTTATTTCACGGATTGTGACCTACAATAATGTGCTGTACTATACATACATAAAGTCGCATCGATCTTTATATTAATAACAATATACGTATAACGATAAATTGATATTGTTTCCATATTTGTCATGTTTTTTCTATTCACAAACACAACGACAAACAGAAAAGCAGAAATCTTGATGTTAGCATCAACAATCAAATATTTAAGACGTAACGGTAACTAAAAAGAACAAAAATTTAAACATGAATGATTCATGTTTTTTTTTTGGTTTATAACAGTATAATATAACTTGTTATATATATCTGATATTATATATACTAACTATATTAATAAGTATATAATTGTTATAAATACTAAAAATACACCACTGTACAATCTACACACAAATAAATTATGGTTGTATAATACATGTATAATCGATTGATATCTAATGAGATATAAATACAAAAAAAAATATGTATATTATAAATTAATCGAATAGCTTTGAATTCCTGATAGATTCAAACAGCTGACTTGCACTATTATGTATCAGCTTACTCCTCGAGAGACGTTTCGCGCTACCACTACTTCTTGAAGAACTAGTGCTTCCGGAACTATTCCGATTTCCGCGAGGAATGTCATAATGAACATGTGGTCTCAACGCTACATAGTCAATCGTCTATTCATTTTTTTTTTTTTTAAAAAAAAATATAAAAAATATAGTGAGATCAGAAAAAAACAATTTAAATAGAAAATAAAAATTTAAATTGAAATTAATTAAAAAATAATTTTATAAAAATAATAAACATACAAATCCATTATCTGAGGAATGCCCCCATCGAGCATTCTTATTAAAAGTAGTTAATTCAAGTAAACAATTGGTGGTTTTACGTAAACTCATGTCTTTAGGGTTGCGTACGGATTTGTAAGGTTCGATAAGGATAGGGTAAGGAAGGATGAAACAAAACCATCCTTTGCCAATAACCCGAGTGAAATCGGATTTTTGAGCTATATACTTATAAACTTGCGTAGAAGTTCTTTGGTCTTTGAAGTCCTAATTGTAAAACCAGTTATAGGCTTGAATTAGTTGATAATAACATTTACGTAAACAGGTTTAAACTTGAAGGTTACCATCGTGTCTACGGTAGTATAAAATCCAAATTCAGGTTCTCCACTTAATTTATCAATTTTCAGTCTCCACACAACGTCATACCATCCTCGCGATGGATATTTGATACAAACTTGAAGCTGTTGATTTTAATTTAAAAAAAAATCTTAAGCTTAAGTTTACTATATATATATATTATACAGTATATAATTCATTTTATTTTATAGCATTTATATTAATTTACCTGAAATAATTTAGTTCTTTGTTTTATAACACTTCCAAATTCACTATAAATAAATGATCCAAAATAAGAAACTGATTTTTATGCTGATGCAATATAATTTAATATTAATAACAAAAGAATACCTTTCTTTAGAAGGTATTAGTTTAAATTCTTCATTGTCCCACCAACTTCCCGCGCCATCTGTTGATTCATCACGTCTCTCCGACATTGGGTATTTAAAAGTTGCTAATAAAATATACATGCATAGCGTTTGTTATATGCAACTAACAAAAAAACATTGTTAATAAAAATGGTGAAATACGTAATTACCTAATGTCATATAAGCTCGTTTTAAATTCAAAGTATCATCATCAATAGATTTGAATTTCTCAGTTAATTCTGGATCTATATTGTAACGCTTTAAAACTTTTTCGAATCCTATCCAGTCTTTCCAATCGCGCTTTAGGATATAATGCCAAAAATAGGGATCTTGAGTGTGTAATCTACATCTTCTATTTACCTGTTTATTTATATAAATGTAATATAATGTAATCAGTGAAGGTAAATTTGTGATTGATAATAACAATTCTTCATGATGCAAATTTACCATACAAAAAGCCAAAATATCAGTAAGATCTAATTCTTTCAAGATATTTAAAATAATTTCATGATGCATCTTTGAAAACAATTCCGTGGCTTCGATTGATGTCTCGCTAACATCTTGCCATCTAACATAATCAACAATTGGTCCTTTATGTAACAAGAAGTTATGTGTAGATTTAGGACTTGTAGGAGATGTTTCGCACGTGAATTCTGAATATGATTTTGAATTTTGTTTTCGATGAAGAATTAATGATATCCCTTTTTCGCTTCGCTGCGAACTCATCTTTCTTTTATTTGGTATTAAAGGTTAAAAATGAAGTTATCGAAAACTTACCGTTATTTGGCCTGCTTATTTATATATGCACATCTGTACATCCAAAATATAAATATGCAACAAAGATTGATGTTCCCCAATTAAACATGCATTGTCCTCTTTGATTAACAATATAATACCGTTTTATTTACTTGATTGTTTACATTGTGAAAAAAAGAATCATCACATAATACTGTATATAATAAGTATTTAGGCTTTATGTCCTTGTGTATGATCATATAAACAAACCGATTGTATTTTTGACATACGACAACGGTTGCCAGACTGTATTGAATCGTTAATAACACAATATAAAGAATATATATTCAATTACGTGTAATATAGTCAAATATTTATAACGATAACTCATATGGAAAACATCTGTGGCAAATCCAGATAATCCTATATCAGGTCAGAAATTTCAAGCATCGTCATCTCATCACTACTCAGCGTCTAAACACTTTTATTCCCACCGCTATTTTAAGTCCAAGTTGAGAATGACTTAGCCGCTTAGGTAAGTTAATTAAAACTATTAGTCATCAGCTGACTAAAAATATTATTTGATTAGTCCTTCAGGTTAGGGGTAGGTCATCGTTAATCAGAAATTGTTGGTTAATCGACTGACTAACTTTCTTTGTACTTATTTAAACTATATATGTGTTTAAAAAATGGAAAAATTACAACTTAAATCATGTAAATTAATTTTTAATCTCCATAATCTGACAGAATCAATTTATGCAAAATTAAAAAAAAAAAAATTTTTTTTAAACATTATAATATCCTGTTGTTGACTTTAATTAGCAGATACTAAAGTCGACTAGTTGATTAATATTAGAGTTGTAGGTGAAACTAATTTAGTTTCATATTAATTTCAAACTGAGTTTCTCATTGGCTATTATACATATTTAGTTTCGCCAGTTTCGCCAGTTTCACCAGCATTTACCAAATTTTCACCAGTTTCATCTGCAACTCAAAGTTTCGTCTGCAACTTTAAATTAATATTTACTAGTTATTCGTGTTAATATGAGTGTAATATAATTTATGTTTGAAATCAGGTTCCAATTATATTAAATCGACTAGTCATGTTTGTAAGTATCGATATTGACAAAATAAAGTTGATAGAATCAGGTCGACAAAATGGTGATCGACTACAAAGCATTTACTTGTAGGTTTTTACATATTTGCATGTGCGATTATGATAAATTGCAGTTTTAATAAATACAGTTGTGTATCTTTTAAGGGAGTTACGTAATAACCAAAAATTTATTAACTGAAGGCAAAATTTTATATTTTGTTATCTTTAAATATATAAAAAACTATACACTCAGATCTCCAAATGCATATTTCCCCAAATGCATACTGTATTCCCTAAATGCATTCCCTAAATGCATATTTTCTAAATGCATATTTCCTAAATGCATGTTTTCTAAATGCATATTTCCTAAATGCATATTCCCAAATGCATAGTCTATGAAAGACTTCATGGCCTTATTTGGCCCCAACTTACAGCATA